CGCACCCACTCGGCTGCGCGGCCCTTCCGCTGCCCCACCTGCCCCAAGGCCTTCGTTGTGGCCGCCTACCTGCAGCGCCACCTGCGCACCCACCGCACACCCGAGCCGCGCCCTCCGGCCTGCCTGCTGCTGCGGGAGGGGCTGGCCCCGCCGCCCGCAACCCCCCGCAAGGTGCTGCTGCTGCCTGGCCCCACCAAGCCTGCCCAGGTGCCTGCCCGGGCTCACCTGGCACAGGTGGGGAAGGGGCTGCACACCTGGCAGAGCGTCCTGGTGGTGCCACCTGGGGCAGGGCAGGAGGGGGCAGGGACGAGTGTGATCGTGCTGAGGGGCGGGATGGGGCCTGCAAGTGTGCAGGTGGCTGAGGCGGCAGGTGTAGCAACAGGTGTGACAGGTGTGGTAGGGGTCACAGGTGTGACAGGTGGGGCAGGGGGGGCAGGTGTGCAGCTCCTCCAGGCTGCTGAGATGACAGGTGTGGTGGGTGTCACAGGTGTGTCAGCTGTGTCAGGGGTCACAGGTGTGGCAGGTGTGACAGGTGTGGCAGGGGTCACAGGTGGGACAGGTGTGGCAGGGGTCCCAGGTGTGCAGCTCCAGGTGTTGCCAGAGGTCACCAACGTCCAGGTGCAGAGCAGGGAGGGGACAGGGGTGACAGCTGTTCCAGGTGTGGTAGATGTGACAGGAGTGCCAGGTGTGCAGCTCCAGGCCACCGAGGTGCCAGGTGTGCCAGGTGTGCAGCTCCAGGTGTTACCGGCGGCCCAGGAGGTCGCCAGTATCCAGGTGCAGGGCAGGGAGGTGACAGGAGTGAGAGGTGTGACAGGTGTGGCAGGGATGACAGGTACCACAGGTGTCATGGGGGTGAGAAGTGTGACGGGTGTGACCGGTGTCACAGGTGTGACAGGTGTTGCAGGTGTCACAGGGGTGCAGCTTCAGGCCACTGAGGTGACAGGGGTGCCAGGTGTGCCAGGGGTGCCAGGTGTGACAGGTGTGACAGGAATGCCAGGTGTCACAGGTGTGCCAGGGGTGCCAGATGTCACAGATGTCACAGGTGTGACAGGGATGACAGGTGTCACAGGTGTTGCAGGTGTGACAGGGCTGCAGCTCCAGGTGCTGCAGGCGCCCTCCGAGGTGACCAAAGTCCAGCTCCAGGTGTTGCCGCCACCACCTGAGGTGACCAATATCCGGCTCCAACCGCTGCCACCGCCCTCAGGTGTCACCAGAGTGCAGCTCCAGGTGCTGCCACCTCCACCTGAGGTCACCAAAGTCCAGCTCCAGGTGCTGCCACCACCCCTGGATGTCACCTGTGTCCAGCTCCAGGCAGGTGAGGTGGCCAATGTCCAGCTCCAGGTGTTGCCACCGCCCCCTGAGGTGACCAATGTCCGGCTCCAGACACAGCCACCGCCCTCAGGTGTCACCTGTGTCCAACTCCGAGCAGGTGAGGTGGCCAATGTCCAAGTCCAGGTGCTGCCACCACCGCCTGAGGTGCCCAGTGTTCATCTCCAGGCCACCGAGGTGATGAGTGTCCAGCCCCAGGTGCTGCCACCACCCTCCCAGGTGACCAATGTCCAGCTCCACACGCTGCCACCACCCCTGGATGTCACCAGTGGTCAGCTCCAAGCAAGGGAGGTGACCAGTGTCCAGCTCCAAGTGCCGCCACGGCCCTCAGATGTCACCAACGTCCAGCTGCCACCGCCCTCCCAGGTGACCAACGTCCGGCTCCAGGTGCTATCACCACCACCTGAGGTGACCAGTGTCCAGCTCCAAGCAATGCCACCGCCCTCCCAGGTGACCAATGGCCACCTCCAGGTGCTGCCAACACTGCCTGAGGTGCCCCCTGTCCACCTGGAGCCCATAGAGGAGGTGCCCAGTGTCCACCTGGAAACCTTGGAGGTGCCCAGCGCTCACCTGGAGACCTCAGAGGTGCCTAGTGCCCACCTGGAGACTTTGGAGATGCCCCCTATGACCCTGGAACTCACCACGGAGGTGCCCAGTGCCCACCTAGAAGCGATGGAAGTGCCCAACATCCACCTGGAAACCTTGGAGGTGCCCAGTGCTCACCTGGAGACATCAGAGATGCCCAGTGCCCACCTGGAACCCCCTGAGGAGGTGCCCTGTGCACACCTGGAGTCCACAGAGGTGCCCAGTGCCCACGTGAAACCCCCTGAGGAAGTGCCCTGTGCTCACCTGGAAACCCTGGAGGTGCCCCCTGTGCACCTGGAGACATCAGAGGTGCTCGGTGCCCACCTGGAGCCCCCCGAGGAGGTGCCCAGTGGACACCTGGAGACCTCAGAGGTGCCCAGTGCCCACCTGGAGGTGATGGAGGTGCCCAATGTCCACCTGGAGCCCATGGAAGAGGTGACAAATGCCCACCTGGAGACTTTGGAGGTGCCCCCTGTGCACCTGGAACCCACAGAGGAGGTGCCCGGTGCCCACCTGGAGACCTTGGAGGTGCTGGGGGGGGCATCTACCTACCTGTGCCTGCAGGTGAGCAGGTAAGGGGGTAACCGTGGGCTCCTGTGGGGGCACTGCCCCAGGTGAGCAGGTGAGGGGGATCCTGGGGGGGCACCTGCCCCAGGTGACAGGATACCTGGGAGTATCTGGGGGGAAGTGGTGTTACCTGTGTCCTCCTGGCAATAAAACTGCCCCTCCCCCCCCACATGTGTCTCATCCTTGGGGGGGCGGGGCCTTGAGGAGGCGTGGTCATGTTGGGGGGGTGGGGGTTATGAAGGTTATGGGATGTGACCAGTATGGTCCCAGTATCCCCCAGTATGGCCCAAGTGACCCCCGGTGTGGCCCCAGTGGTTCCCAGTATGGCCCTAGTATGGCCCCACTGAGTCCCAGGATGGCCCCAAGTACACCCCAGCTGACTTCCAGTATGGCTCCAGTATCCCCCCAGTATGGTCCATTTGAGCCCCAGTGGTTCCCAGTATGGCACCAGTACAGCCCAACTTCCACCTAGTATGGGCCCCAGTACCCCCCCACTGTGGTCCCAGTATGCCCTCAGTACAGCCCAGCTGACTCCCGGTAGGCCCAGTGGTTCCCAGTATGGCCCAACTGACCACCAGTATTCCGCCAGTATGGCCCCAGTCCCTCCCAGTGTCCCCCAGTGCTTTGAAAGTCCATCCCAGTGCCTCCCAGTATATCCTAGTCCCTCCCAACCCCTTCCCAGTGTCTCTAACCCCCCTTCCAG